TCCAGAAATTGTCTTAACCTAACCTAACCCTCAAATAATACAAAAATAAACAGCTGGCGTAGGTACGATATTGCAGTAGGTTGGAAAGTTAGTACTTCAGAAGTTAGTAGTTAGGGGGGATGTTACGTATAGACGATGAACATTACCCTTTTTATACAACATATAGAGATATATACACAGAGTTCTAGGTGCCTATATGTACTTTGCTTTTTTTAACTGGAAAGGAAAATGCGGGTTGGGGATAAATGATAAGAGCACACCTCCGAGAGTTTAACATTATATTGTTTTATTTCCCCTCTAAATATTCCTGCATTGAGAGACCTGGAGAGAAAGATATGGAAGGTAACTATTAAATATGTTTGCACTGTCACAAGGATTACAGGATTATCCCTGAGCTAGAGCTTAGATCCGTCCTACTGAAGCAGAGTATTATCCCGGAGATAGAGCTGGGATCCGTTCCACAGGAGCAGAGTATTATCCCGGAGCTAGAGCTTGGATCCGTTCTACAGGAGTAGAGTATTATCCCCGAGCTAGAGCTTTGATCAGTCCTACATGAGCTGAGTATTATCTCGGAGCTAGAGCTTAGATCCGTCCTACAGGAGCAGAGTATTATCTCGGAGTTAGAGCTTAGATACATCCTACTAAAGCAGAGTACTTTCCCGGAGATATAGCTTAGATAAGTCCTACAGGAGCAGAGTATTATCCAGGAGATATAGCTTAGATCCGTCCTGCAGGAGCAGAGTATTATCTCGGAGTTAAAGCTTAGATCCGTACTACAGGAGCAGAGTAGTATCCCGGAGCAAGAGATTAGATACATCCTACAGGAGCAGAGTATTATCTCGGAGATAGAGCTTAGATCAGTTCTACAGGAGTGAGTACTATCTCGGAGATAGAGCTTAGGTCCGTCCTTCAGGAGCAAAGCATTATCTCGGAACTAGAGCTTAGATCCGTCCTAGCAGGAGCAGACGATTATCTCGGAGATAGAACTAGAATCGAGAAAAAAGATAAGAAGAACAGACCAGGAATAAATGGATAGAAGATGGTACACGGTAAGGCCAGAATAGATAGAAAGATCAGGGATAGAAGGATAGATAAGGGATAGATGGATAGATAAGGGATAGATGGATATATCAGGGAAAGATGGATATATCAGGGATAGATGGATGGATAATGGATAGATGGATATATCAGTGATAGATGGATAATGGATAGATGGATAAATCAGAGATAGATGGATAATGGATAGATGGATATATCAGGGATAGATGGATATATCAGGGAAAGATGGATATATCAGGAATAGATGGATGGATAATGGATAGATGGATATATCAGGGATAGATGGATATTTCAGGTATAGATGGATATATCAGGGATAGATGGATATTTCAGGTATAGATGGATATATCAGGTATAGATGGATATATCAGGTATAGATTTGCAATATCATACTTTTTCTTTTTCAATTCACATTTTTGATAGATTTGAAATATGCTTTAAGATTTATTCAAAGGTCTAGAAAAATCCTCGAAACTTTTTATCATCTTAAACCCAATATTTCCATCTAATTCTGAAATTTCACAAAGACGGATGCACGTGAAATGGAAAAAATTGCAAAATCAATGGATTAGAGCAGTAAAATGTCTTCCAAAGAATGGGGGATATTGTGAATAATATTGTGCCACTTTTAACTGTTTTATTTTATGTCCGACTAAACAATAAATTGTATCGATTTCAATAACTCTGAATTGGTCGACCCGATCTTCATGAAATTTTATGATTTTATAAAAATTTCTGTTCTTTTAAGTTTGACGGTAAAAATGTTTCGCGGATGTTTTGGCCAACAAATGTAAATATTTCTAAAAGAAAAAAGAAAAATATCATACACTGAAGGAGACAACACTATTCACACTTTTTTTACTCACCCTGTACGTATATTTACATATACATATACATATAAATATACATATACATATACATATACATATACATATACATATGCATATACATATACATATACATATACATATACATATACATATACATATACATATACATATGCATATACATATACATATACATATACATATACATATACATATACATATACATATACATATACATATACATATACATATACATATACATATACATATAAAAGGTTTATGGAATCTGTTAGATTATAAGTTCAGTGTAAAAGATATAAAGAACAGATAAATAAAACCGCTTTATAAATTTCAAGCAACATGATATCACGAGACTGTCATGTTTATGTATAAGTATTGAGTCTTGAATTCAATAATGTTTATCTAAAATATCAGATCAAAATTGTCATTAAATAATACGTCTTATTCGGCTGAGTTCGGATAAAGAATTAGCTCTTTGGTTTTTCCTTTCTCTTTCTATTTTACTTGGTGGGTACATAGAGTATGTTCAAGGTTACTGACAGATTCGAACTTTAAACGTCTTAATTGCAAGACTAAAAGTTACGTGAGTTGAAGAAACACAAGGCCAGTAATTTGTTTCGTATTTTCTGTAGATATATATACGTGTATCTTTCATAAGGTTTAAAAAGTACAAAGGTGGAACCTTTTTGACAGCGCTAAGATACTGCACAGCATTAACAGAATATCCACAACGGAAAAGTTTTGAACTCAAGGGATAAATTATCTAAGATATCTGATATATTAATTATAGACTAAAAAAATATTTAGAAAACGTTTGAAAAAAAAAAACAAAACTTGAGGCGCTGGGTGATATATATATATAAATATATAATATTGTCGATATTGGCTGTCGGACCTTTAAAAATGAGAAATTGGAAGACGACATTTAAGCAATCTATTTGAAAGCGTTGAAATCAACTTATTAAGTGAAATGTGAAATGCTGTGTGTCATGTGGTCATTGAAAAATTTAAAAGTTTACTAGCTTCGTCTTCTCATCCCACAGTTTATGGGTTATTTATACTGTCTGTTTCTTTATAATTACGATTCCCTGCAACTGAACTTGTGTGTTTCTTTGCCAAATTATTAAATAAGGCATTGTATTACTATATTTAAGGCAGAATACATAATTTAACCTTGGAATCGTCATATTTTAAGAGTTTTTGGTCGTCTTTACAGTCTCATCCTTTGTGGGTAAACCTGTATGTTAGAGGTGGTTCAGTGTACACGAATAACCCAATAAAGGGACTGTAGACGTAGTTTCAAGTGATCTTCCATTTAAAGGGGGTCATTCTCGATTCGGTACCCTTTAAACTTTTTACTGATTAAGGATAACATACTTTTCCTTATTCATCTACAGAAGAGCTTATAATTGTCGAAAACTTAGTTTACAAGTTGTTTTATATTTTAATATTTATTTTCTAGAAGTTGAAGAATGTTAATATTCACATTGTACATCACCTGCGTCCTGAGTTCACATACAGTACGCTAGCGCACACCCCAATTTTAAGGCTTTTTATGATGGTGTATCTTTTGACCTATGAAAATACGCTATACTTCACATCTGACCTACGCCAAATCCACAATACTACACATCCGACCTACTAGCAGGTGGTTTTAAAGCTGCTAGATGGACTTGTGGCCGCAGCGCCCGACCCCCTAGCCTGTCCTAGCCCCGGTGCTCGGCCTCCTAGCCACTCCTAGCCGCAGTGCTCGGACCAGAAATTGTCTTAACCTAACCTAACCCTCAAATAATACAAAAATAAACAGCTGGCGTAGGTCCGATATTGCAGTAGGTTGGAAAGTTAGTACTTCAGAAGTTAGTAGTTAGGGGGGATGTTACGTATAGACGATGAACATTACCCTTTTTATACAACATATAGAGATATATACACAGAGTTCTAGGTGCCTATATGTACTTTGCTTTTTTTAACTGGAAAGGAAAATGCGGGGGGGTTGGGTCCTGAGACGCCCGCGACCCGTAATCAGTCTTGATGTTTCCCTGTCTCTGCACAGACATAAAATAAATATCCTGCTCACAGAGATATGTACTTTAAAACACCAGAGAGAACATAAAGGGATTGTTACCGTATTTTCAAGTGAATTCAAGTGAATTAAACCATAGTCTGGGAGACTAAAGCGAGGAACTTGTTTTATAACTTTATTATATGACAAATTTTGGTCATTTTCCAGCCTGTTTGTGTTGTAGAAATCCACGCATTACTGTTTTTAAGATTTATTGGATACTGTCATAAATAGTTTTAATAACGATTTAATTTAAATTCTGTGAAGAAATAGTTTAGAGTTAGGACAATGTTGAGACTGGTAGGGTTAGATCTTATCATCTTTTCAATCCTACTCATCCTACACAGAATATCTGCTGATAAGATCTCCTATGCGGGATACTCGGGTAAATAACAAAATTGTTTAAAATTTACTTTATATCCCTAGTGGTCACATTATCTTCCCGGTTCATGCCCAAATCGTAAGAACATATCATTTGATCAATTTTTATATAGATGTACAGGGTTACCCACAATGGATGAGAACTCAGGGACGACTGTACACTCTACACGGAATGTATTCAATCTTTTTCTTTTAAACATTCTTTGTTTCTTGAAACTGTGAGATTGTTTCTTTCTTTGCAAAATCATAAAGTAAATCATTCAAGGACTATAGATATATTTCCATCAGATCGGTAAATTAAACAATTTCAAGCGATCCTCAATTTCCCGATTCACAACGGTACCCTTAAAAGCTTTTCAGATCAAGTATAAGTTAGATATCAATGTTTATAATTTAGAAAACTGATTATTTTCAATTGTGGGTTCACTACAAAGGTGACTTGCGCATTTCTACTGCGGGAAAACATTTGAATCACTTTTCAAAATAGAAAGTAGACAATATTATTAATTAGGTAAATGTTTCAAGGGTACCGTTGTGAATCAGGCATGAAGAGTTACTTGAAATTACGCTTACGGTCCCTTTAAAGTCTCATTTTTTTGTTCAAGGATTTAGTCAAAATATACTTTATCTTATGCTTGGGGACTCAGCTTTGCCAGAGTTTTCCCTAGAAAATTCTACCCATTTGACTAAGAATTTTTAAACCAGCCTAAGAAAATATTCGTAATTCTACTTAATTTCACAATCAAACGTTGAGGCAAATCGGTCTTGGGGTTCATTAGTTATGATCGGACATACAAACAAACAGAGACAGACAAACAGATATTACTCATTCTATCTATATTTATAAAGTAGCAATCTCTGTTTTTCTGTTTTTTTGTTTGAGTGTGTATCTATAACTCTCAAACCCCTTGACCAATTTGCCTCAAGTTTTGATTGGAGTGCTCGGTAGAACCACGGGAATGCTTTATAAATTCTAAGTTGATTGGGTCGATTGTTTTAGGGAAAACTGGAAGCCAAGCTGGGTTCCCAAGCTAGTTGTACATAATATATATTGATGTACATAATATATATAGTTGTACATAATATATATAGTTGTACATAATATATATTGATGTACATAATATATATATAGTAAATATTTCCAATCACTCAGTTGTATTTTTTCCCTCCCTAAATCTTATAAACTACAGCCTGTTATGTTTAATAAAAGTTTTCAAATCTTTAGAGTAAAAATAAATCTTCAAAATGACATATGAATTGAATTATTGCTGCTCCCTGAGTAAATATTGACATCTATGCGATTTTCATCCTTTAAATTTCAAATATAAATATTTGCCATCTGTCAGAAAAGAAAAGTTGTCAGCTATAAGGAATGCAGTTGCCAGCTATAAGGAATGAAGTTACAATTTATAAGGAATAAACTTGCCAGCTATAAGGAATAAAGTTACCATTTATAAGGAATAAAGTTGCCAGCTATAAGGAATAAAGTTACCATTTATAAGGAATAAAGTTGCCATTTATAAGGAATAAAGTTGCCAGCTATAAGGAATAAAGTTACCATTTATAAGGAATAAAGTTGCTATTTGTAAGGAATAAAGTTGCCAGCTCTAAAGAATAATGTTGCCAGCTATAAGAAAGAAAGTTGCCATCTATAAGAAAACAAAGTTCCCAGATCTAAAGAATAAAGTTGCCAGCTATAAGATAATAAATTTTTGCCAGCCATAAAGAATAAAGTTGCCAGAAAACTCTAGAATAAGAAGACGACTTTTAGACTCAAGTTATAACTTTAAATAGTCCAATGAACATGAGGCTGCAGCAAATGTGCAGTGTAAACAGACCCATTTCACTTAATTAGTGATTGAAAAACTTACTAGTAAAGCTATTTGCGTTGTAACAATATCAAATGCACTTTGCTTTAATGTCGTCTTCCTATTCCACAGTTTTCTGGTTATCACTGTAAAAGGGAATAAAGATGTCAGAAAATAGATTTAAGTAAAACAACATATTATAAACCGATCGATTTAGAACAGGGTGACCCAAAAAGAATTAGAAATCATTAAATACTCATCCTTTGTGAGAACCTCCATAAAAGAAGAAAGTCTGGAATTGAAAACTTTCAGATTGAAATTTAATATTATAGATCTTGACGACCATTTTCCTATAAGATCAATAAATATTTATTTTTCTATGTTTCATGAAGTATTACGTTTGTCAAGTGTTGTTTGACGTATTTGGACAGCTTTAGAACTAGTTTAATTGTAAACAAACAACATATATAAACAATATGTAAAAAATACTTTTGTTTACAAATTTTGTTATTGTCTTCAGTAAAGTGTAAACAAAAAACCTAATTTTAGTTGTGGAAGCAACCCCAAAGAACAATGATGAGCTGACCTGGTTAGAATCTGATTCTCCGTGCTCCGTCCTAGGGGAGTGGGTAGGGAACGGAGTAGGTTTACTCTGCAGTAGGTTAGAAGCAAACCTGCTCCGCCAACAAGCCAAGAATCGGGGAATCAAGACAACATTTTCAACCAGGTAAAAAATATTTTCATTTTTCAATTTTGAAAGAAATAATTTAGGCATCAAAGTCCTAGTCTTTGCTGCCTAAATTCTCCGGTCGAGACTCTGCATTTGAAAATTATAAAGGATAGAAAACCAAGGATATTTCCACCATTTTTGTTTAGAACAAGGTTTAAAGGGTACCGTTGTGAATCTGACCTTTATCCAGATTGTAATTAAAAATATGGGTCGAGTTTAAAATTTGAGCAATTTTTCGCANGGGGGTGATAGGTTAAACCACTAGATATCTTTCTCTGTGTACCAACTTTTGAAGTCTAACTACAAATTTGAAAAACCTAAAGCTTTTTTCTTTATTGTTTTGATATTATTGAATAACAAAAGGTTTATCGATCATATCGGTTTTTATTGCTTTACAAATCAAAATATTTCTAGGCTCAATTTTTTCTAATACTAAAAAATCATCAATTTTAAGATTAAATACCGCATCCCAAAAAAGACGAATTGAAATACAAATTTCTTAATTTGTGGAACTTTTTTTTAGGCATTTGGGACGGCAGATAGATAAGGAGGAAGAGCAGAACTCCAGGGCGGATTTGATCCAACCACATAAACGACAGGGAATCCAAATATTTTTTTTATTAAAAAAAAGCTGCGCTAAAAATATAAAATATTTAAAAATCTATGTCGTCCTTATTTTTATTTCCAGGATACAAGTAGGGTTGGCCGGACATTTTATATGATTTTTAAATTTTTTTGATTTTTAGGTTTTAAAAAATCTGTGTATGAGTCTAGTAAATTTTAAAATTTAAAAATTTACTAAATGTTTGCGTTTATTACACTATACCAGAAATTGTATACTATATGCAAAAGATAAAAATTTGATAAAAACGTTTTATTTCATTACTTATAAGAAATAATTCTGATGTTCCCAGTATCTCCCAGATACATTGTGAGACGTAACTCATGATGTCATTTCAACAAGTTTATAAAAGTTTTTATTTCTTTTTAATAACCACTGAGAATCTCTCCTTGCTTCATAGCTGAACAACACATGAATGCAGGGGCGTACACAGGTTTTGCTCTAGGGGGAGAGGGATGAACTATTTACTATGATAATGAAAGTTATTTCTATACTTTTATACCAGTGTCATAAATTCTTGAGATTTTTTTCTGAATTTGTGGAACTTAAATACCAGATTTAATAACTTTGTGGTACCTAATTACCAGATTTAAGGACTTTGTGGAACTTAAATACCAGATTTAGTAAATTTGTGGAAACTAATTACCAGATTTATGGACTTTGTGAAACTTAAATACCAGATTTAATGAATTTGTGGAACCTAAATACTAGATTAATGAATTTGTGGAACCTAAATACCAGATTTAATGAATTTGTGGAACCTAGATATCAAATTTAATGAATTTGTGGAACCTAAATACCAGATTTCATGAAAGTTTTGGAACCTAAATACCAGATTTCTTGAATTTGTGGAACTTAAATACCAGATTTAATGAATTTGTGGAACCTTATTACCAGATTTAATGAATTTGTAGAACCAAAATACCAGATTTCATGAAATTTTTGGATTCTAAATACCAGATAAAATGAATTTGTGGAACTTTAATACCAGATTTAATGAATTTGTGGAACTTTAATACCAGATTTAATGAATTTGTGGAACCTAAATTCCAGATTTAATTAATTTGTGGAACTTTAATACCAAATTTAATGAATTTGTGGAACTTTAATACCAGATTTAATGAATTTGTGGAACCTAAATACCAAATTTAATGAATTTGTGGAACTTTAATACCAGATATAATGAATTTGTGGAACCTAAATTCCAGATTTAATGAATTTGTAGAACCTAAATACCAGATTTAATGAAGTTTTAAATATTTACATAAATCTAATCTTTGTTAATATCTTTATTACACATTTGGTTTTTTATTTTCCTTTTTATGACTTCTAATTATGAATTATTACTCCTTTTACTCTTTCATTTCATAAAATATTTGGAAGAAGGAATTGAGGCTTTGTCACAAACTCTGATTTTCTAATCCCTAAATCTTTGCATCCCAGTGTTCTATGACCTTTGATATATCAGACTAAGAATTTTGTGAGATAAAAAGATCTAAGCTTAAACTATGAAAGGTCTCCACCATCAAGTTGCGAAGATATAGGGATTAGAAAGTTTAAGTTTGTGTCAAAGACTCAGTTCTTGTGGGAAAAATATATATATATATATAAGAAACTTTTTTAAACCAATCTTTTTTCAAATATGGCGTTTCGTCCAGAAATAAAACTGTAAGATGTAAAAGTTTTATAAAAGTTTGGATTGATGATTCTAGAAAAAACGGATACTAACCCACGAGGAGTTTGTGAACTACGCCACCATTCAACATTACCTGGATAGCCTACAGGGACGGATCTCATCACTTTAAATAAAAACTGAGGTCTAAATTGCTCTTGTGCTTCATGAGCGACTGAGATCAATATTCGATTCGTAAACTTTGAATTAAATGATTTAACGCCTTTAATCGGGGAATGTTGTCCATTTTTGAAAAAATTGGAACACTTTATAGGTTTAAATGAACAGTCTGAGCCAGTGGCGTAAATAAAGGGGGGTTATTTGGGTTACTTACCCCCCCCCTAGAATCTTGGGGACAAAAACATCCCCGTTTAGAAACTTGATCTCCATTCTCCATTGTCCATTATTACCATAAAGAGGAAGTAGATTTAAGATTCATAAGTTTAGCTCTCTTAAAAACATTTTGTTATGGTATTATTTCTATCAAACCAAGCAGATCCCTATTTATATTTAGTTTGGTACAGGTTTTTCTTCATTTGGTACTTAAAGCAATTGTAGCGTAATTTTAGGTTTCACTCCATTCAAAGATGACAATGCGCGATTCTCTAGAGTTTCTCTATAACAACTCTATTGAAGTGGTTTGCGAATTTCTACTGCAGGAAAACAAATGCGAATTATCATGGAACTATAATACTAAAAAAGGTTTGAAGGGTACCGTTGTGAATCGGTCATTGTCGTCTTTGTACGGAGGGTTACCCAAAATTACGTTTACAATCGATCCATATGAAACCGCAACAATTTTTTTTCTGTTTTTTAATGAGAGATTTGTGGTTTAGGAGTTGTATCCTTACGTAAACGTATCCTCTATTGGAAAATCTATTGAAGGTCGAGACCTGAAGCTTGTCACTATCAACGGGGGCAGAAACCTTCCCAAGATATTTATAGATGCGGGTATACATGCTAGAGAATGGATTTCACCAGCTTCTACTCTTTTCTTTATAGATAAACTAACTAAAGTTCTAAAAAGGTTAGTTATGGTGTCTTCATTAAAGGGACTGTAAAGGAAAAATGAAAGGGGGTATAGAATGAAACCTGAGAATCTCAGGAGTTAAACGATACATATAAATCATCTATCTGATGTTTCTGTCTCGAGAAATGGATGTAAAACTGTCAAATTTATATGAACATTCATATATATTTCATATACATGCAATTTTGTATAAATTTTGTAGTATTAAACAGATCATATTCAACACATACGCAACCATTCTGAAAACGACGATATCCCGCAGGAGCCTGAGAATCTCAGGTTTGCTCCTATTGTAATTTTTTTTATTCTGTATTTTTAATAGTTTCATCCTATACCCCCTTTAATTTTTCCTTTACAGTCCCTTTAATAGAAGAAATTATATCATGTTTTAAACATATTAGTTATTCTGTTGGCCGGCGTATTGAAATTTTCTTTAAATTATGTCAATATCGAAAAGAAGGATTTTTTATTTGAAAAAAAAATCTTCAGTCCCTGAAGAGCTCTTGACAAACTGTTTGCAACTTTTTATTGAAAGAAAACTGGAGGAATTATAAGGTCTCAAAATCCCTCATTGTAAACTTCTATCTGAATTTAATATTATTTTCCTCCGTATTTTGCATTTCCGGCCTTTCAATATTTCATTAAGCTTAATGCAATTATTTTACAAAAAAAAACTAATCATAACTATATTTAAGGGTTTATTTCCGCATCCAGATTCAAGGACCTGAATTAATTTGGATCCGGATCCAATAACATTAATTAATCCAGATCCGGATCTATATTCAAAGACCTGAATTAATCTAGATCCAATAACATTAATTAATCCAGACCCGGATCTAGATTCAAACTTCAAAGGCCTGAATTAATCTAGATCCAATGACCTGAAATAATCCGGATCCGGATCCCAGATTCAAGGACCTGAATTAATCCGGATCCAGATCCAATAACATTAATTAATCCAGATCCGGATCTAGATTCAAAGACCTGAATTAATGCAGATCCAATAATCTGAAATAATTCGGATCCGGATCCCAGATTCAAGGACCTGAATTAATCCGGATCCAGATCCAATGACATTAATATTAATACAGATTCGGATCTAGATTCAAACCTGAATTAATCCAGATTCAAGGACCTGAATTAATCCGGATCCAGATCCAGATTCAAGGACCTGAATGAATCTCTAGATCCGGATCCAGATTCACGAACCTGAATTAAATAAATTAATCCAGATCTGGATCAAGATCCAATGACATGAATTACTCCAGATCCGGATCCAGATTCAAGGTCCTGAAACAATCCGGATCAAGATCCTATGACCTGAATTACTCCAGATTCGGATCCAGATTTAAGGACCTGAATTAATCCGGATCCAGATCCCATGACCTGAATTACTCCAGATCCGGATCCAGATTTAAGGACCTGAAACAATCCGGATCCTGATTAAGATACAATGACCTCAATTGATCTAGATGCTTTACACTAACGTTTTTTTCTCGAAAAGCAAATTTTCAATAAGATATTCAATTTATTTAGACAGAAAACGCATTCGACGAAGACGACTGGCCGGAGGTCTCTAACGGACGAGATTGAATGGCATATCGTCCCTCTCATGAACCCGGACGGATATGAGCACTCCAGAAACAAGGATAGGATGTGGAGGAAGAACAGGAGGTAACTGGCATGTCCGATTTACAACTGTTCCTTTAAAAGTGCTGTCTGATGAAGAGTGAATTAGATATATTCATGTTTATAATTTTGAAAACTGTGGTTTCTCTACAAAAGCGATTTGAGCATTTCTGCTGCAGGAAAGTAATATAACAATTATCCGAATTTAACACTATTATTTCTCAAATAAAGGTTTCAAGGATGCCGTTCTGAAATGGGCATGTCCCACTTAAAATAGAGGGTCATTTTGAAAATACGTTGACAGTCCCTTTTGTAATTCATTTTTTATTTTTTTTCCTTTAATACTTCGCAGTCGGGCACATCTAGCCCTGGTTAGTCCAGATTCCAGGGTGCACTTTGTTCAACCAAGAGTTTGATTTGAAATGACAATTTGAATCTGTTTCCAACTGAAAGTTTTTTTTTTGACAAATTACAATTTGAAAGTACAATAAATGCATGAAAGTTTAAATTCTCTTGTTCATAAAATATTTCCGTACATTTTGTATTATTTGAATTCTCGAAATACCTCAAATTTACCAAACATGTTCTTCTATATTCCCAGCATTCTCCAACAAGAATTCTATATACTAAACATGCTGAAGAAATTCCTATTCCCCCACCCCCCACCCCTCCACTTAAAAACAATCAATTTTATTGTACTATTTTCATAGCTGCACCACCAGTCTGCTATATCAGACCTACATATACACTGTAGCTACAGCGTAACCTGTCTATGGTGTCCGCTATAGACAATTTCCCCCAGCATCCTAGCCACAGCGCATGACTCTGAAAACGGTTAAATATTTGACATCTCATTATACGCACGGTTTTTAATACATTTATTATTTGTTAAACAAATATTATTATTTTTTTATAAAAATATTATTTGTTAAACAATTATCATTATTTGGTTTGTCGGTGTAGGACATCCCTAAAAGCTTGATTTGATTTGATTTCATTTGATTTGATTTGTTATACAAATATTATTATTTGTTTAACAATTATTTTTTATTAAACAAATATTATTTGACATACAATTATTATTTGTTATACAATTATTTTTTGCCATACAATTATTATTTGTTATAATACAACAATTATTTGTTATTCAAATACTATTTGTTATACAAATACATTTAGCTTATACAGATATTATTTGTTATGCAATTATTATTATTTCTAAATCAGAGTGAACCCGAATTCTAACTGTGTTGGAGTTGATCTGAACAGAAACTTCCCTGAAGGGTATGGTATTGGTTCCTCCACCCGGGCCTGTAGTGAGGTATTTCAAGGTTAGACTTTTTATTCATCAGATTAAGGATTGATTGATAAACATGATTCAGGAGCGGGAAAGGAAGAAACACTGTCATTCGTTTCTTTGCGACAATTTTCGATTGTTAAATTTTTCCAGATTTTCCAAATTACAAGGTTCTTATAACGACCTACAGGTTTTCATGACATTTAAAAAGTTGATTTAAACCACATATAAAAATATTATTTGTAACCTGATATATTAAAGTAAATTAGTCAAATCGTCTTTTAACTTTATATACGGTTGGTATTGATGAAATATGCATCTTTCGAGTGTTTTAGATTGTAATAAAACAACTTGCGAATTTTTCGCTTTTGATTCGAGACTTTGTAAGCATAGTTTTGTAAAAGAATTCCGGTATAACGCGGCGGGAGGAGTTCCCATTGCGTTATTTCTTTCCATCTAGTCCCTATTTTCAATGATTTTTTAACTAAGTTGCCAGCAGGGGCGTTAATATGGATTCTGTAGGGGGGGGGGTAAAATTTTTACCCCCCCACCTAGAAAAGTATCATGATGTGTATCAAATTATAAGTTTTAATTGGGTTTGATTTGCATTTTCCACTCATTTCTGGCATTTACAAACTCCATGAAATAAAGGCTTCATTTCATATCTTTCAGCTTTCTGCACCTTGTTTTATATCCTTCATTATAGTCATTCATTTTACCTAACAAAGATCTGTAAAAAAACTGAATTTATTTTAAGTAAGATAAAAAATAATAGTTTTACACTAAGAGGAAAAAGATGTCACTTTTTTAAATCTAAAAAAAGCTACTCTGCAAAACTTTGAAAAAATATTGTCTTTGTTTATATTCTTATTTCTAATTTCTAAAATTTTCTTGTCGTCAATGTATTATGTTAAGATCTTAAATAAATAATAAATATAATGTGGAAATGACATTATTTAGAAGTAAAAATGTATTTTTCGTTGCCCACACCCTTTTTTCTATAAAAAACATCTAATTAATGTAATGATAAAAAACATCTAATTGTAATGATAAAAAACATCTAATTGTAATGAAATTGACTATTACTTTAGAATTTAGAATCATTTAGAATATGTTGACTTAAAATCTGAAATATCTGAAGTATCTGCACATTTGAATGAATATGAGTTAATTGAGTTGAATATGAGTTAATTGAGTTGAATATGAGTTAATTGAGTTGAATATGAGTTAATTGAGTTGAATATGAGTTAATTTCTTTAGTTGGTTTCCAGATGGATATTTTTATTGAATATGAGTTAATTTCTTTAGTTGGTTTCCAGATGGATATTTTTATTGAATATGAGTTAATTTCTTTAGTTGGTTTCTAGATGGATATTTTTATTTCAACAATGTTTACTGTTTAGGTCCAAATCCTCTAAGTGAACCAGAGAGCATAGCTTTGAACAATCATATAGAGCAGACGAGTGGTATTCGAGCCGCAGTGTCAGTTCACTCTTTTGGAAACGTCCTTATCTTTCCCTGGGGGTATACAGAAACAGCTCATCCACAAAAGGTTTTTTTTTTTTTAAATTTCAAAATTTATTTTCGATATTAAAGTTAAAAAATAAAACCACTTAGATTGTTGATTATTTATTACTTTACCATACACTATTATAATCATACAGTAGGACTATAAAACCGTGGATTAGAAAGACGACGTTTAATACTAAATTAAATGGGTCTGTATACACTACACAATTGCTGAGTTTCATGCGCCATCGTATTTTATTAAAGCATAAACTTAATTTTCAGTTGCCCTCCTATTCAATAGTTTTATGGGTCTCCCTGTAAAAAGAAATATTTAAATACATTCATGGAGTTTATAAAAAAAAACTAGCTGAACGGCCTGGCGTTGCCCGTGGGAAAAAAATGTTGGAAAAAAAGGAAAAAAACAATCTATTTTTTAGCCTATAACACCCCCAGCCGCCCATGAGTGTGCACAAAAAATTTAATTTCCATTCGGTCCAGCCGAGTGGCCGGCTATAGGGAACATTTATATATAGATGAAACTTGAAGGGCATAAATTTAGAGCTATACACAATCTGATATGATGTGGGACACCCTGTATCTTAGAACAGAACCGTTCCTTCCTTTTGTAAACATATCAGAAATAAACTCCCTTCATAAAACAGAGATACTTATGAGGAAGTCCGGTCGGAATACAGTGTTGGTGTGAAACAGCATTAGCAACCTTCATTTTGGTCCTGTTCTAAATTTTGTTTTAAAGGAATCTTTGCCACAAACTCTGATTTTCGAATCCCAATACCTTTGCCACCCAATGTCGTAGACCTTAGATATTTTAAACTTTGAATTCTGTTATCTAAGTTTGAAATATTAAAGGTTTACACTATCAGATAACACAGATATTGGGGTTAGAATATTTGAGTTTGTAACAATTCCTTTGTTACTCTAGGCTGCTCTAAGTGAACTAGCAAATGTAATAAGTGACACCATTTATCAGAAATATGAAGAGAGATATAAACCAGGAACTGCAAAGGAGGTATTATTATTAATATTAATTTGAAAAAAAAAATTTAAAATTAAAAAAAAAACAAATTCGATGTTTAAAAATTACAAATTTTAGATTTGTTTGGCCTATGTTACCCCATGGGTTCCCTCAAAAAATATCAGCTCATTCGGTCTAGCCGTTTGGCCGGCCAGAAGGAACATATATATGAATGTCTTGTTTTATTATATATTATTATTATTATTATTATTATTATTATTATTATTATCTTTATCATTATTTCTAGGTGTTTGGTTCCTGGGGGGTAGCTGGAGGAGCTACTGATGATTATTATATAACCAAGGTTAGACTCTAGTATATCTCTTTATTTAAATATATTATTTAAATAAACTATTTTTATAAAAATTCAGGTCAGGACAAATTATAAGAAGATACAGGTTTACCCACTTAGAATGAGGCTATAATGACGACATTAACCTTAGAATATGACGGATGAATCTGGACTTAAAACCATTTTAAAAAGGTATTTTGATAAAATAACATGTCAATGATATAAACGAGTGTTGAACTACAGTGTACCGGGAATTTGAGAAGAAAAAAAACTGAATAAAATTCCGTACCGTCTGTTATGAAGTCTCATTCTTTATGGGTAATCCCCGTATCCAAAAAAGATTATCAAAGCATCATAATCTATATATAAATTTAGCTTGTCTGTTTATATCCAATAAACGTCAAAACGGCTGAACCGATCGGCCCCAAATTTTGTGTGTGACCTCACGTGACCCCAGGGTAGGTTTATGAATGATCAAAATTTCAAAAATTAGTATTTAAAAGTTTTTTATTCTTATCAAATTTTGAAAATGCGCGAAAAAATATTATGAAATCCGCAAACTTTTTTGTTTTTGCTTTATACAAAGAGAAGATGCTCATAGATAAAGCCAAAATTAAAAGTTAAAAAGAATATGGGCGCGAAGCGCCCTAAAAGCCTAGTGCCTTACATTTTTATAGTTAAATAACTGTTTCACACAAAACACGAATTAAATTAAATCAATATAATAAGTATATATATATTAAAACTAGGCTTTCAAGGGGATTTACAATATTAGTTTTAAACTGTTGTCAAGCTGTCAATTTACAATATTAGTTTTAAACTGTTGTCAAGCTGTCAATTTACAATATTAGTTTTAAACTGTTGTCAAGCTGTCAATTTACAATATTAGTTTTAAACTGTTATCAAGCTGTCAATTTACAATATTAGTTTTAAACTGTTGTCAAGCTGTCAATTTACAATATTAGTTTTAAACTGTTGTCAAGCTGTCAATTTACAATATTAGTTTTAAACTGTTGTCAAGCTGTCAATTTACAATATCAGTTTTAAACTGTTGTCAAGCTGTCAATTTTTCTTGGTTATTCACTAAAAGAGTCTTCGCGGACTTTCTTTTAAGCGCATTTTCAAAAATAACAAATGTCGACATTTGACGGTACATGAAACTTTCCCCCCCAGGAAACTTTTTTACCGACTTTATGTGCCAATGGCGAAGTTGGCGGGTAAATAATTCTGGACTTTATTTGTTCGCCATCGGTTTGTCGGAGACTAAATGTTTGCAAGGTGGGGTCATGTCAGTTGCCGTAATTTAGGTCCGATCTGTTCAATTGAACGTAATTCCAAACGTAATCCCCCTTAAGTGTACTGCAAATATACATGATTTAGGGAATACCGTACAGTTTTACATTCGAGCTCCCGCAAACAGATTCTGCAGGAAATCATGGATTTCTACTTCCTCCTTCTAACATTAAAAAGGTAAGGGATTTCTACTTCCGGCCTTAAACATTAAAGAGGTAAGGGATTTCTACTTCCGGCCTTAAACATTAAAGAGGTAAGGGATTTCTACTTCCGGCCTTAAACATCAAAGAGGTAAGGGATTTCTACATAAGCCTTCAAACATTAAAGAGGTAAGGGATTTCTACATAAGCCTTCAAACATTAAAGAGGTAAGGGATTTCTACATAAGCCTTCAAACATTAAAGAGGTAAGGGATTTATACATAAGCCTTCAAACATTAAAGAGGTAAGGGATTTATACTTCCGGTCTCTAACATTAAATTGTAAGGGATTTTTCTTCAGCCTTCAAACATTAAAAGATAAGAGATTTCTACTTCCGGCCTCAAACATTAAATAGGTAACGGCTTTCTACTTCCGGCCTAAAATATTGAAAATGCAATGAAAAAATGTGTAGAAATTTTAGTATAAAAATAGTTTTACAAAATTTTTTGGAAAATAATTTTTAGAAAGTATTTATTGTGTTTCAGGTTGGAAATCAACTGTTCCTAGGATTTATGACTCTCGCTGGACAAGTTCTAAAATCTTAAATTATATTTTGATTTTTGAATAAGATATTCTTTGGTTTTGTAAATATACTGTTTAAAACTTAAATATTTTTTTTCGCAAAGAAATCTTTTCTAACATTTTTTTTGACACTTTTTTATTCCTACCTTTAATAAGTTCTTTGATTATGTATAAATATTTTTATAACTTTTCTTAATGATATCTTTTCTATAACTTTTTTCGTCACTATTTTATTCTTAGCTTGAATAAGATATTAAATTTTTTGCTTATGTAAAAATATTTTTAAAATTTATTTCTTTCCCAATATCTTTCCTATAACTTTTTTCGTCACTATTTTATTCTTAGCTTGAATAAGATATTAAGTTCTTTAATTATGTAAAAATAGTTTTTAAAACTTTAAAATTATTTATGAAATCTTTTCTATAACTTTTTTTGACGCTATTTAATTCTTAGCAAGTTACAATTGACAAGAGACAGATCCAGAGATCAGAACATTTCTAATGGAGTATCTCCATATCCTATTCTCTGCGGGCATTCTTAATGTTAAATTCCTCATTTAAAGCTATCCTTTCAGGGTATGACCATCACGTGATATGGAAGAGGAATTAGAATAATCCAAGATAAAGATCGGTTCTGAGAATCAAAATACAAAAGTTCTATTTCTGAAAATAACGCATAATGAACTAAATGGACCCAGGAAAATGAACAATATCAGAACTTTAAAGGACTTTAAAGGACATAATTTCACATAATCTTTTATTTAAAGATAATAAAAAGAATGAGGGAAAAGGGGTCTGTAAACTTTACTTGATATCTTGAAATAAATTTTTTGATGCCCCCCCCCCTTTAACCCAACTCTAAAAACAGCTTACTACAAACCACTTATTTACCATTTTTTTCAATGTAACTTTTATTTTAATAAGCAATTATGAAAGTATGAACAATAGTTGTTATTCATTAGAATATAATATATTTAATTGTTAGTGTTACAGAAACTTATTTTCTAAGCCGAGGTTTTCGGCTGTAAACAGGAATTGAATCTAAGCCACAAATTTTCTAATCCCTACATCTTTGCAACACGATGTCGTAGACCTTCAGGTTGCAAAGATATAAGGATTAAGAGTTTGTCACAAAGACTCAATTCCTTTACTATAAGAAAACTTATGTTGACATAGACAAGTTCAGTTCAAGAATTCCTTTCCATTCCAGAGTTTCCACTAGGACTAAGGACGTTTTTCCGAGTTCGTCTCCGTTCGAGTGGGACTATTCAAGAGTCCTTAGAATGAGAACGTCTCAGTTCCAACCTTTCTCTTTGTTCCGTTTCAGAGTTCCTTTGGTTCGATCAGTTCTTCTTCGTTCTATCAGGGATTGGAACGTTCCGTCCTCTCTAAGTTCGATCAGTTCCGGGAAATTTCCAGTGCTTTTCACCTTCACATAATAATATCTTACAGTTTTATTTTAATCAGAGTAGTTTACAAGTTGAAGAGATATGTACATTGCAGTAGCCGAAAGTCCTTGCTCATTAACAAAAATATTATATCACTGAAGTGACAAAGTGTCCGTGTTTCAGAGTATCACAAATATGAGGAACTGCACCAAACAATTTCACTGTGCACAAGAGAGCTGCGCAGCCTTCACAGATGTCAGCTTGGTTTTAAAATCCAGTTCTAACTTGTGGCGTTTGTCCCGTGATATCTCTGATCCTGAAGCTGGTCTCTTGGTTCCCTGTCCGAGCTGGTTCAGGGAAGCCAGGGTGGATTGAAGTTTAGAGGCTTGACTGGCCAGGAATAGGACGGTTTCTTCTCCTTCTATTAAACCATGCTTTTCCTTCAACTCAACCTAAATTTAAATATTTTATCAGAAAAAAACTTTCAACGGTGATTTTTTCACGAATTTTCCATTCTCCAGTTTTTAAACAACTGAAAAGTAATCAACATTAAAAATAATAATTTTTTTTTAATTTATAGAATTAAATCTATATCTTATTAAAGCTGTGCCAGATAATTTTACAAAAAATCTCTGAAAGTGTCTATTTTAAATAAAAAGGATGCCAAAAGAATCTTTTTAATTTAGTACATCATATATTACATACATATTACATTTACTATATATTGAATGAATGAATGAATGAATGAATGCAAAAATAAATTACCTCTTGCTGTATTGTTTCTTCTTGAGATGTACAAATTTGTTTTAATTTGTCCAAATATGATCTAAAATATAAAATATAATTTAATTGCATATTAGAAACGTTTCTAAAAGAGTGAAGTGTTTTTATATCATATGATTTGAAGTTTATTTTCCATACCAACCTGAAATAAGTTTTCTTGTACAGACAGGATTTATATTTCTCACGCATTTTTTCCATCTCCATAGTCACAGCTGTTAGTCGGGACTTCGCAACCTGAATATTGTATTGAAAAATTATTAAAATCATTTAAGAAAACCTATACTTTTGCGTACTAAAAAATATTTTATTGAGACAAAAGTGCCTAAAAGAGGTAACAACAACTTTAATCTTTATCCCCAAAAAAGAAAAATCTGATTGAGAAAACAATTATACCAATTACCTATCAATCTAGTTATTTTGTGTTAAATCCTCCTTTAATATTCAGAAACAGTCCCTAACTAACCTGAAGTGAGAGTCCGTTCCAGGCTGCATCTTGAGGGAGGAGAACATGATTAGGAATCTAAACAAACTCAGTTTAAGTCTTAACATAGCAATCTATCAACCAACCAATCATCAATCTATCAATCAATCAATCAGAATTATAGGGATATCCTTCAATCAACATATCAAACTCGAGATGAACTTATTAAAAAAATATGATCTTGCAGCTGATAAAAAGTAAAGAAAATTTAATTTTTTTTGTTTACGCATTTGAAATTACAAATTAATAAATAACTTGTGAACTAAGAACACAACCAAGCCAATTATATTGTTCAAAGATGTCCTAGAAGACGAGCAAGATCGATAATTTCTGTAAATAACCGTCAAGCCAGTCTGGTTTTGAGTATTATATTGTTCAAAGATGTCCCAGAAGACGAGAAGGATCTATACTTTCAGTATAATAACCGTCAAACCAGTCTGGTTGAGTATTATATTGTTCAAAGATGTCCCAGAAGACGAGAAGGATCTATACTTTCAGTAAAATAACCGTCAAACCAGTCTGGTTCTGAGTATTATATTGTTCAAAGATGTCCCAGAAGACCAGAAGGATCGATACTTTCTGTAAAATAACCGTCAAGCCAGTCTGGTTCTCCCGGTAACATGTATCACCACTGACCAGTAGGATTGGCTTAATAAGAGTGGTTCTCATTTAAAAATAGTATCTAATGCGTATTTTTAAAAACAATTCCTTTAAACATGTTGACAGTGTTTCATGTTCATTGCACAATTTTAAGTCATGACGTGAATCTTAAAGTCGTCTACTTATTCCCTAGTTTAATGGATCCCACTCTTACCTTGAATACATTCTTGTCTAGGTATCCCCCCAGGGTTTCCAGGTTTCTCTCGAAGTACTCGCTGTATTTCTCCTGCAGCGCCTGGATCCCTTTATCCAGCTCTTCGTCCTTGAACTTTCCACTCGTCTTAGTCTTTATCTGAACTTTCGCTTGATCTGAAATTGTTAAGTTTAAAGAGACTGTTCACGTAATTTTCAGCGATCCTCCATTTACGGAGTTACATGGCCGATTCACAATGGTCTTCTTCAAAGGGTCCGTTCACTTGTTTGAGTAATTTTATTGTAAACTAATTAGCCTATTAGTTTTTCATTGACATTAGTCTTACTTTTCAAAGACAACTGCGGTCTGAGAAAAAGTCGATTCATCATTCAGAATTCCAGCGCAAAGGTATGAAAACTTAGCACAGACATTAAATGATGCTTTTTGTCATAGTCATGGATTTTAAAAATTTTTCAAATATTAAATCAAATTGTAGTTTCTAATAGTTTGTTGTAGATATCTTTAATTATTTTCAAATTTATTTAAAAATTGTCTCTTTTCAAAATAAAACTTATTTTTAACATTTGACGGGTTGATACGTTTTCCCTACTTTCCTAGGAATCCCCGTGATTCATTGAAGAGTTGTAAGCTAGGAACCGGTTTGTCTGAGAGAGAAAGTCGTCTTTGTATAAACGTGTTAATTAGTTAAATCATATGTTAGAACACGAAAAACGTTAATTTCTTGCTAATTCTAAAATTTTTTATATTTTATCTTATAATGGCTGACACATGATGTCAATAAAGTATGATAATTTTAGATTTTGTTGGGCTATTGTGACTGAAAAAACTTTTAAATAGTGTCTATGCAAAGGTATCATACCTTTGCGTTGGAATTCTAAACTATAACTCGGCCTTTTACCGGTCATAGATATCTTTGAAGAGTAAGACCAATGAATATCTAATTAGTCTACCATGAAATTACCCAAAGAAGTGAGCGTTACTCTTTAAACAAATATCTGAGCAACGATACGAAAGCTTATTTAAGCTTCAAAATAAATAAATTTCGTCAATTTCCTGCTTGTCTCTGTTGCATAAATCTGCAAGTCATTTGTATGGAAAAATCATAAATAAAAAAATCAGTTTTAAGATTGAAATACAAGGATTTCTTCACAATTTGCGCGCAGACAATGGTTTTAAAGGTTCCGTTGTCAGTCTGACATAATACTCCTTCGAATCCGTTGAAATTACGTTCGACAGTCCCTTTAAGTATAGAATCCCCCCCCTCTCCCCTGAATTATGCATGCATGCTTATAATGCTTTTTTGATGTCTTTGTTCTAATGAAAAATATTTTTAATAAGTTTTTTATGTACCTAGAAGTGATGATAGTGTATCCAGGCTGAAAGAAGTGAGTTCCTCCACTAGGATATTAGGATCGAATCCAAAATGTTGGATTGTATATTCCTTCTCTACTTGAGCTCGCTGGGAGGATTCCATTCTTGAACTTTGATCCTGTTCCCTTGTGGTTAACTATACTTAATTCAATTCTCCGGGTGGTCAACTATACTTGATACAATTCTCCGGGTGGTCAACTATACTTGATACAATTCTCCGGGTGGTCAACTATACTTGATACAATTCTCCGGGTGTTCAACTATACTTGATACAATTCTCCGCGTGGTTAACTAGGCTTAATATAATTCTCCGAGTGGTTAACTATTCTTGATACAATTCTCCAGATGGTTAATTGCACTTGAAAATGCTCAGTGAAGCTGACAGGCTCGCACCATCACTACATTTTAAAGTTATTACCAACAATTTCTAAACCTTTTTAATCTGATTTAGAAATAAAAAAAAAGAAGAAAAACTATGGGTAATCGCGCCCCTTGTTGATTTTTTAACGATTGGAAGAAATATTAAAATGTCGAGTTCTTCTGTTATTTTTAAAATCATACAGTTTTCAATCCAACATAAAATCTAACACAAAGAACTCTTCACAATGGAGAGAAAAGATTATTTACGAAACTTGGAAACTCTTGTAATGTGGATATCGAGATCCATGCTTGATTTTTATTTGATATCCTGCAATGTATTTGTATCCCAAAGAAACAACTGAAATGAAGAGATTAAGCATAAATCCTCAAATTAGAAGTGCTCACTGTGGATATCGGGATCATGAGTAATAGTGTCCAATACAAAAGTGACCAGCTTTGGCAGTAGAAATATGATATCTGACTGATATAACTATATTCCTAGAACAAGAAGGATGAATACAGGACTGGTGACCTCGCTGTATTCTAGTTTAATACTATCATTTAGCTTCTGACAGAGGAGATACTTGAACCCAAAGAGCAGAACTAAAAAAAATTTAAAACTTTTTTGTGCCGGAACTTTTGGCCATGGATGGAATTTAGTAAGTCCAAATTATTATTTTAATTGGTCACACTTTCAGATTTTTGAAAAAAATCTACATTAAAAATGATTAACTGTCAATCTAATATTGATGTTGCCTTTTCTACCCTCCCAAAAATACAAAAAATACAAGTTTTATTATCGGATTGATGGCATAAGTCGCGAAAGATATTTCTCAAATACTCGTTCAAAATCTTGGATTGGATTATGATAAATACCGGTTAATAAATAAGAGTGGTGTATTTTTTCTTAAAAAATCCTTCCCCCCCTTTTGAAAATGTCCCCCCCCCCTCCTCCCTGAAGTTAGGTATATTTGCGTGGAGCGAAATGTTTTTTTTAAGGTTTTGAATTGGGGAAAATAAATAATTTTTGAAAAAAAAATTATCAAAAAAGGATAACAAAACGTGCATTTTGATGCCCAATTTTTCATTCATCCCCCAGATATTCTAGGAGGGGGGGGGGGGGTTAGTTCTTAAATATTTACACCCCTGGCAAATAATTAATTTATGATTTGTACTGAATGAAAAAACTAAATTCTCCATTTTCAAAAATAAAGGGAAAGTTACCGATTACAAGAAGCGACCAGAGAGTACGAAGAGGACCATTCCTTAGCTCATGATACAAATACTGCCTAAAGATTCAAGTTTTAATGGCATCCAGACTGTTAGACAATTTCAAATCTTTAAACCAGTGCTTAGGATTCGGATCCGTTGGATCCGCAAGATTTTGGCTTCCTGGATCCGGATCCAAGGGGTGAAATATCAACCAAAAACTGGAAAAAAAAACTTTTTTACTTCTAAAACCCAAACTTGAACTTTTGAAAAAAGGGAGATTATAAAGATTTCCTCATTTCTGAATGGTTCATCAAGTTTTAGGATAAAAATAAGCGAAAAAAAAGTTTTAAAAAATTGGAATATTATTTTTTGTTAAAAAAATTCAGTAAATCTTAAAGAAATGACCTGGATCCGGATCCATTTTTTCCAGTGCGGATCCAGGATCCGGATCAAAATTAAATGGATCCTAAGCACTGCTTTAAACTATCTTAGTAATTCTGTCCATATATCGACGAATAAATACGGGAATGTGACATAAAGCGACCAATAGATTTCTACAGAAAATGGTAAGCAAGGGCGGAGGCATGAGCAAAGACATTTCTTTAAAATTTACTGATTTTTTACCAAAGAAAAATTTTCTGATTATTATTCTTTTTCCCTTATTTTTATTTTAAGCATATTTTTGAGGATCCAGATCCAAGAAGCCAAAATGTTGCGGATCCCACGGATCCCGATCTTAATCACTGATTCTACATATATCATTCTATTTTTATTTTTTATTTTTTGGGGGGGGAGTAACTACCTGATAAACACGATTATGCAGAAGTATGCGTTAACTCCGTCTGATACAAAGAGTGGTGAGAAGACTGTGAACCAGGAGGTGGAGCTAGGGAGTAGGTTCTCAACCTTCAACACAACCAGCACAGAGAACACTGTCAAACTAAATACAAAGATTGGTGAGAAGATTGTGAACCAGGAGGTGGAGCTCGGGAGCAGGTTTTCCACCTTCAACATAGCATAGAAGAATTAATGATAATGAGGACACATAAGCGGAGATTTACTGGAATAAGATTCCTGACGTGTTTATAAACATAATGTTCCGAGTGTAAACAAGAATTTTAACAGGGGGGCAGACTGTGGCCCTTACTATAGCAATTAGTGCATGATGCACAACGCTACCAAATAACGTGTTGTCTGATCAGATCTCAATGTTTGAAATTTTAAAGGCTGATTATTTTACAATTGTAGTTTCTCCACAAAAGTGATTTGCGCATTTCTCCTGCAGGAGAACTTGTAGGAATTATCGGAAATAATCTAGAAAACGACAATATTTTCCACAATATTGATCAAATTATGATTTTCAGAGTACTATTGTGAAACTTGCATTGCCATCTTTTGAGTTTGTTTAAGTAAAACAGTTATTTTCTAACACTGGATATTATGTGAAACTTGATAAAAAAGTATTATCAAAACCCAAGACTATACCTGAAAAGCCACACCCAGATTTCAAAGACCGACACACCGAACCAACGCAGCAACTCCGATTGTCGGAATAGCATCTGCAATCAGCAGGTACAATCTGAAAAATTCGTAGGATTGTAGCTTACACGTCTGGTAAGGATTGGATTGGATTAACCCGAGACTATAAAGTAGTTGAACGGAGCAAAGAAGACGTATGTTTGAGCGCGTATTTAAAGGGACCGTGAATGCAATTTCAAGTTCTATTCACAACAGTTATCTTTGATGAAGCTGTTTAGCCGAAGGGATGAATAAAAAATCGACTGAGGGCCCTTTGTAAAAATTGACTTGTAAAATTAAAGAAAAGAATTTAAAACTTTTTTGGACAGAAAACCAACGATTTCTTCCTCATTCTGGCTAAGATACAGGTCAAAAGCTAAGGGGGTAATTTCCTAGTGAACGATTTTTGAACCCCCCCTAACCCGTGGCCGCAGCGCTCGGCCCCCTAGCCCATCCTAGTCGCAGCGCTCGGCCCAGAAAGTGTCTTAACTAACCTAACCCGTGGCCTTCTTAACCTAACCTTACCCTAAATAACAAAAAAATAAATAATAATAAATTTGCTGAAAAATAAATGGTCATGTACAAAATTGATAGGAGGGGGGGGGGGGGGAAGAAATCAGCAAAAAATATGGATTAGGGCATAAATGCATAAAGATAAAATGAGTCACTTTTAAATGTTTTTTCCGACTTTCGTTATTTTTGTTGTTGCGCCCGGTTGCGCCGCCAAATTCTGTTTTTAAGTTTAAAATTTGACGGAGCATTTGCGCATATTCGTTCAATCATACTTCAGGGGTTTTCATTTTCTCCTTCACTAAATTATTTTTTTTTGACAATCGATCATACGGAAAATTGGAACATTTAGATTTAGATTTTTTTTAAAAAGAAAACATTTTGAGTGTGATTGTGTTGGCAGTGTGGGTTAACCGCATCTCGCTTTCTTCGGAGTTAGGGCTAAATTGTAAATAAATTTGAATGCATTTCTATTCTTTTGATCATAAAAATTATTGAAAGTTTTGATAAATAATGTCCTCTGCCCCGTGTTTCTGAGTCACAATCTTCAATTTTAACTCCACGAACTTAATGTGTCGGCTTATCTTTCGATAAATTTACTGTAAACAAGATAACATAGTTTTATTTCAGATTTAGCCGTGTAGACTGATCAGAGTCCACGGTATGTCGACTGTTTACAAGTTTGGAGCTGCTGTACCCATCCAATGCCATGCCTGGTCCGGGGATGGGAAATCTATAGCTATTTCCCATAACAGCCATACCATTGAGGTTAGTTCACTTTTTTCATACCAGCCATACCGTTGAGGTTAGTTGGCTTTTTTCATAACAGCCATACTTTTGTTGGGTCTGTCCTAGTGAACGATTTTTGGACCCTTGAACTTTTGAAAAAAGGGAGATTATAAAGATTTCCTCATTTCTGAATGGTTCATCAAGTTTTAGGATAAAAACAAGCGAAAAAATAAAGCAAAAAATTGGAATATTATTTTTTGTTAAAAAAATTCAGTAAATCTTAAAGAAATGACCTGGATCCGGATCCATTTTTTCCAGTGCGGATCCAGGATCCGGATCCGG